TACCAAATGATATGACATCCACACAATTTGTATGTTCTTTTTCTATATTAATTTCCACAACTAAGAGAAAACATACAAAACTTGTCTTTCTGCATCTGGCTTATTTCACTTAGTGTAATGATCTCCAGTTCCATCCATTTTGGGGTGTGTGAGTATGTGTGTGTGTGTGTGTGTGTGTGTGTACCACACTAAGCAATCAATATTCAATCCTGGAGGTTTCACCTTGATAAGCTTGTCTAATACCCCAGCAGAAGGAACAGGCCTCCTAGAGAGGCGCCTTTCTCTGAAGGGAGGAAGGAACCTCCACTGTGATACGGCCTAAACAAGTTCAGAGTTGGTGAACTCAAGGGTGTCGCTCCCCCTCTTCTTGGAGGAATGACACTAAGCCCTGCTGGCTCTCTCAGGGGCTGCACAGGTGTTCCTCTTAGATGTTCCTGGTGCATGTTGTCTCTCTCCTTCTTTATAGTCCTCTTCCACCAATCCCAACTCTGCTACCCACACGCCGAGTACACTGCTCTCCTCCAATCAGGAGCAGGTCCTGCTGTTTATTGGTTGAACTGGAGGCAGCTGTGTAGAAGCTGTTACTCCCTTCTCAGCGCCATATTGTGGGAGAGCAGATGCATAGAATAAGTCTTAATTCCAGTAACAGTCTAGTCCGAGTTGCTCCCCACAAAGGGGCTTCCATAGCCTAGACAGCTCATAGCAAGAGTCTCGGGTGATTGCTGATGTCATAAATAAGAGTGTCAATTATTAATCAACAATGGGATTCACTGGGTACATGCTCCCCACGTAGGATCTCTGTCCTTAATGTGTTTTATTATGAAATTTAAAAACAACACTACTAGTCGAACAATACCCTATACCTTGTGAGGTTGTGTGAGTGCAGCCTGTTGAAATCCTTGCTTAGTATATACTAAGTTGATCTTCAGTATATGAAGGTAATTGAAAATGAAACTCGATGAAGGGTGAGATGGGAGAAGGAGTGGGAGAGGGGAGGGCCACGGGAGGGAGGGAGGTTTGGGGCAGGGGAAGCCACAACAATACACAAATTGCACTTTGTAAATTCACATTTATTAAATAAAAAAAACTATATAACAACAACAACAAAAAAGAAGCTCCTGTTGCAGTTAAATCCCTATGGCAAGCTATTAAGAGGATGGTGTTTAGGGGAAAGGCTGTTTGCAAAGTGATTAGTATTAGACAAGCTTATCACTTTGCAAACAGCCTTTCCCCTAAACACCATCCTCTTAATAGCTTCCCAGGGGACAAACACCCTCCTTCCCCCACTGCTGCTCCTTCACCTGTCACCTTTATGGAGACCACTGGTTTCTGGTTGCTAGGAAGGGGTTTTTGGATGTGACTAACATTTAACTCAGGAAACTTTGAATAAAGCAGATACCGCCACATGTTAGGGAGCCTCTCCCAATGAGCTGAAGGGCTGGAGGGAAAAAAGCAACCTGAAATCCACAGTGGCAGGGAATCCTGCCTCCAGACTGCCCTCAGACCAGAGCTGCAACGTTGGTTCTCCAGATCTCTGGCCCATTGGCTTGCTGTGCCGATTGGACTTACCAGCCCCCACAATTGTGTGAGCCAATCCCTTAGGATAACTCTCTCTCTCTCTCTCTCTCTCTCCCCCCTCCCTCCCTCTCTCTCTCCCTTCTACCCCATCTGTCTCTCTCTCTCTCCCAATATATGAGGAATTTCCAAAAGTTCAAGTGTGTACCATGAAAAAAGGTATGAATTTAAACTATTTCTCCACAAAAATTAATTTAGCTTTTAACTCCAATTTTCCATACACTTTGACTTATTTATTCATTTTTTTATTTGAAAGGCAGACAGGCAGAGATCTCCCATCTATTAGTTCTCTCCCCAAATGTCTGCAATAGCTGGGGTTAGATCATGAGCCGGGGGAACTCAATTCAGGTCTCCCACATGGGTTGTGGGGACCCAAGTTCTTGAGCCATCACAGCTGCCTCCCAGGTGTGCAATAGCAGGAAGCTAGATGCAGAGCTACAACTCAAACCCAGCAACTCCACTATGGGTACCCCAAGTGGTGTCTTAACTGCTATGCCGACCTCACGCCCCTCCATGCAGTTATAATCTCCTGATGGATCTGCTCTCTGGAGAACGTGGACTGATATAGCTTGCCTTGCTCACTAGGTGCAAATTGAATGCCAAGGTCTTTATCTAACTGAGCCTCACAGACTCAGTACTTTGCACATCTCCAGACTCATAGTAAATAGCCATACTATTTGATGGAAGCATAGAAGCTCATACTCATACCTACCTTGTAAAAAAAAGTTACTTGCACATACTATTCGGTTAATTCATTCCCTCAACCTAATGAGGCATTTATCTAACACTTAGGGTCATCCACTTCTGTATTTGAATATGCTTGACACTGATGATGCAGAAAGAAAAGATAGAACACCTTCTCACTACTTAATCGTGCAGGGGACAGGGGTATGGATGGGGCAGACCCAGCAATGGAGGGAAAATCAGCAACGGGAAGCAGATTTGCCAGGTGAGACAGATTAGTTAGGTGAGAGATTGGCCCCAGTGAGACACAATACTCAGATGATAAACTGATAATGGAGAGGATCAATGGGGAGGCCGTGGAGGATGAGTAGAGAGCAATTTAGGAGGTAGAAACAGTGGAGGTGAGAAACAGGAAGCCGGCTGGCTCCCATGACTCCCTGGTTTCTGGCTGAGATGTTGGGAAGATGGCGGGGAGGGGGGGAGTGTAGAGTTTCTCATCGTCTTATCTGATCCCGCTCTTCCTGTACATCACAGAGCACCCCCCCCCCCCGCCACCCATGGTAGGATACAGGCGTGGAGGCTGACAGATCTGTCCCAACCCCCCTTCAGCTGCAGCTGACAGGGTGTGTACTAGACTCAAGCCTCTGCTATTAGGCCACTATGTCCCCTCCCTGACCCCCACTGTGGTGCCTGCCAAATTCCTTGGGCAAAGGCGAGTTGGTGGGTGTGGAGTCCCTGTTCTTGCCTCATGGTGCATTTTGCCTCCCAAGCTGCCAGCTGCTGACCAGCCTGCCAACGTCCCTGTCTGTTCAGTGGCAGTGCATTGATGACCCAGAGGGAAATCACTTCCTTTCCCGCTGACCACAGAGCCTGGCAGGTTTGGGAAAGGGAGTGGCATCTATTTGGAGAGAGGGAGGGAGGGAGAAGTGTGATTGGTCAAAATGAAAGTACATTTTCTCCAAAAATCTGAAATAATTATATGACTTTCTTCCTGAGAAGCACCTTAGTCTTGCATGGGAAAAGTGTGTTCCTTTTCCAGTAAATGACAGTTGGTAATGTCATGTCCTTTACAACCTGCCTGCCCATGCCTTCTCTTTCCTGCTCCTGCTGTTGGCCAGAGTGGCTGCTTGAAGCCTGTGAATTCAGGAGCATGGAAGGAGCCTGGAGCCCTTTTCCTAGGTTGGTGGTGTTGAGTAGCCACTGGGGAAAGAATTGTGTATTCTCCATTTCTGAGGCTGGAAAGTGGAACCCAAAGGTCATCTCTGGCCTCCCACACCATATTCCAAGGCGCTCTGCATTCTCCCTTCAGCTGTCCTGGCCTTGATCTCTCAATAAGGCCCTTAAGTTTTAGGAAGAACCAGTGGTAGTCAGTTAACCATCTGGAAAGACGTCTTCACATAGCTGGACCTTTGTCTTGGCCTCCATTTGTGATTCTTTTGTAGTCCTCTGCTGAGACCCAGAGGCCTTCTGAGGATACAGGCACTGTCTTGTTTTTCTAGCATCTCTGCCTGCTCCCTGCCCTGCAGGACTGCCCTCATGCTAACTACATGACAGAGTGCTTGCCCAGTAACTCAAGTGGCATTTGAATTTGTTTGCAGTACAGAGCATTAATCAATGCTAGCATTCTTTCTGCTACAGCCTGGACTTCTGAGCCTTGCTCTCCCTGAAATGTCTAGAGGTTTGCTTCACCCACCATTATGGATGGCCTTTGCTGTCACGAGTTGGGTCTGAGGGGCTGAATCTGGAGATCAATTGGGTCCTGACCTAGCACCTGACTCATTCCAGCTAGAGGATGGTCTGATGCCAGGCCTCAGCCTTCCACCCTCTCCCCAGCCATGCTCAGCTGTAAGTTGATGATCAAAACTTCCTGAATCTCAAGGGGCAGTAATCAGATCCTTGCCAGATGGCCAGGCAGCTGGATGCTATTTTTATATGAAATCACTGCAGAGCCCGTATCCAATAGAACAACAGTTTTCAGGAGCACCAGCTGAACCCTGCTAACCATGCAAACCCAGAGTTTCTCTAGCTTTTTTATGCAGTGGATAAAGTATCACAGTAATGTGATTCAAATTCATTGTGTGCTCCCTGTTGTCATCCTGCGAGTTGGAGAAAAGGGTAGAAAATATCAACCATTGTTTTCCATGATAAGATTGTTTTGTGTGTGTGTGCTAACATTCTGACCACAGAATGGTGCAATGGGTCTTAACTCACATTCTTTTATAGCTTTTCATCAATTTAAAATAATGGATATAGTGGACGTCAACGTTCTACTGCTTAACCCCTGGGTTAGATCTGCAAGCTTTCCGTTGTTTGTTTCACCCTGGGTTTCCAGTTTGGACAACTGAGAGTTGCCAGCACACTCATGAGACTCACCATGCACATGAGACTCACTAGGCATGTGAGACTTGCCCTGTAGTGGAAAATCGTGATGCTGCCCAACAGTCTTTGTGAAGCCTCCAGAGCCCTCTGCTTCCCCGGGGGCATGTGTGTGTACCATCTGTTAGGCTTGTGTGTTCCATGAGGTCAGAGGCTGCGGCTGCCTTGTCCACCACTCTGCCCTCAGAGCCTGGCACCTAGAAACCTCAGAATAAATATTTATCGAGTGGATGCCTTGAGGCTGACCATCGGCTATGCAATGGTGTACTTTGTCTTTTTCTATAACAAATGATCCTCAAAGGTCAGAAGGAAGAAGATGAAAATAGGAGAGATTAAATAAGAGTTGTGACATGGTCCCCACTGACCTGTGCATATGCAGACAGGGTTATGCCTAGATCTCAGATCTTCTTCAGAGTGTCTTTCCCTCTGCTCTTAAAACTGGAGATTCTTGTGCAGTTATCAGGCAGAATGAAAAAAAAAACATATGGGAGGAAGAATTCAGAAGGATAAGTATAAGCATCCTCTTCCCTATGGAAGCAATAATAACAGAAATAATAGTAAGTTAAAATTATATTGTATGCTTTCTGCCCACTGTACTTTACTCTTTAATCCTCACAAGTAACCCATGAGATGGATATTATTATTGTACTCATTAGTGGGAAACAAAAAAGGAACTTAGAATAATTGAAATAACTTGCCCAAACTGGTAGTGGAAAAGCTGCAATTGTATTTCAGGTCTGCCTGAGTTCACTGCTTAACCACTAGTTCTTGGGTTCTTGGCGGCTTCAACAGTTAAGGGCAAAGTCCAAGCCTCATTCACTTTTGTTTCTGTCCACACCAAGCTGAAGGTCATGTCTGCCAGCATGGAGAGAGTAAATATTTATTGATTCATAAATACAGATAACCAAAGGCACTGGGCCAGGGTTATTTTACTAGAAAACAGAGCCTGCGAGAAAGGAAATTTCAGAGCCAACTGAGGGCTAGCCTTGTGGCACAAGCAGTCTTGTATCCTACTTTATCATTAAGTATGTTTGGAATTCACAGCGTCAAGTGAAAAGAACATTCTAAAGTGGCAATAAGGATGATAAATCATAGGAAAGAGCTGGAAGGTTCCTAAAGGTCTTTTGCACATTTCCAAGTCCTTGTTTTGTTCCAAGGACTAAGCTACAGAAGCCAATTGGGATAAATGCTCACAATGGTGCATGAGTCGACGATCTTCACAAGTCAAGTAAATCAAGCCAGAATTATCGTAGATCCATGCAGTGCTTGCATTCGCATCTTTAGGCCTCATCTCTTTCTGACCATCTTAGAGAGCCAGCTCCCGCTGAGCAGGGCAGCCAATTCAAGTCCTCGCATGATCACCTTGTGGCTCCCTGCTCTACCCCTGCCCTCCAGGCAGGGCGCATGCTGCATCTAGATCCTTCCTAGAATGCTGTCTCATCCTCTTTCCTGACATTTAAAGAAAACTGAAGAAAGTGAAAGCTTAAATGAGAAAATGAGTAAGCACTTTCACATCAGAACTCTTAAACTCACATCCAGCACAGCTTAGAGTTAGTTCCTTTCCAAATGCCTTTGACTCTCATGCTCAGAACCAGATCTTGCAAATAGTTTATGTTTATTGTCTATTTATTGCTTGGATGCATGCATGAATGAACGTCCCCTCATATTTCTTTAGAGGATACGTAATGAGTAACATGTTGTGATAGAATCCTGCCTGCCAAACAGAGTATGAGAACCTGGTTTAGATCTCATACCAGCAGGCTTGGGTTACATAATGAAGAAACTGAAAATCATCCTTACAAACAATTAAATGTGTCTCAAAAGGAGTTTTGAGGACCTTTCCAAAAAGTTCAATATTGATAACTTCTGGATAAAGGGTCTTTTAGGCAGCATTCACTTAAGAGAAGATGAATTAAAAGTTTTCCAAGTGTAAGGAAACTTCAAAACATTTGTGGAAAAAATGTAATTAAAAGAGAAGTTTATTTTAGTGCAAGACATCTGTGAAGTCCATGCATACTTGTTTTGTAATACACACTTTTTGCAACTTGGGGGAGTCTCCCTTATACACCTGCATAACCTCACAATACCTCAGATCAAACAGATCCCAAAGCCGCAAGTCTGCCCAGAGATCTTGCTCCTCCATACTCATTTTCCTCTTCGCTATGGCTCCATCGCCAGATTTTAAACACAGCTGTCAGAGGCAGTTCATCTTGGCTTGTAGTCAAGAATTATGAAGACTTTTTTTTCTCTATAGCCTCTCTCTTTCCTTCCCTTCCCTTGCTTTCCACTCCCTATAACCCAACACTCTAGGTCCAGCCCTTCTGTTCTCAGATTCTGCTATTTCATCAAGAATTCAAGTTGTCTCCTTGCCTAGTTTTCTCTCTCCACCAGCAGCTTTTGAACTGAATTGTGTGCCCTGCCCTAACCCCATGTGACTGCTTGGAGATAGGGCAGGCCTTTGGGGAAGTGACTTCGGTTCGTTGAAATCCTGGGGGTGGGCTTCAGGATTTCAGTAGGACTGGTGTCCTTCCTGGAGAAAGGAGAGATACCAAAGACAACTTTTTCTCAGCTTGTACACAGACAAGAGGCCTCACCAGAAGCCAACTTTCCCACTGTCATGACCTGCACTTCTAGCATCCAGAACTGTGACAAGTTAAATTTCAGTTGTTGAAGCCACCTTGTCTGTGGTATTCATGCAATCCTAACAAACAGGCCATGCCCAGTGTTCTCAGAGTTAGACGTGGGGAACAGTAAATGGATCTCATGCTTTTACCAGCTTCCAAGGCCTCCTCACTGACCTGTGAGCCCAAACTCCTTACCTTGGCACCTGATGCCATCTTCCCAGTCATCCTGCCTCATCTGCCCGGCCTGTGGCTCTCACATTGCTTTCGCACACATTTGGCTCCGGTGATCTTCTCATTGTCCTCAAAACACGCTCGGCGTTTTCTGGAGCCACAGTGAAGCACTATGCCTTCGGGGAGCTGCCTTAGTTGCCGTGGTTAAAGGATGAGTCACAGGCCAGGGGACGGCAGGATGTAAGGGAGAGGAGGCCCATCTCCGACTCGGCCGTTTCCTCCCTTTCCTCCGTGTCAGCAGGGTCCCCTCACTGAGTTTGGGACAGATCCAGAGCCAAGAGTGATGTCTAAGCCGGGAGTCAGCAAGTACTTTTTCGCAAGGATCCAGTGAACGTGGGCACTTTAGGCTTTGTGGATTTTGCAGACTCTGTCCCAACTCTGCGGTTACAGCAGGAGAGTAGCCATGGGCAGCAAAGGAGCAATAAGCCCTGCTATGTTCCAAGAGAGCTCTATTTCAAAATAAATAAATTAAACAAATAAATAAATAAAATAAAATAAATAAAAAATTGTTGGGCTAGATCCAGCCTGGGGGGCATCATTTGCCAGTCCCTGATCCCTGGTTGGACAGTCCCAGGCTGGTGACATGGCTGATTTTCTGAATCAAGTCTGGCCAGCTTTCATATTTCTTGGTATACAAAGGGGAGAAAGTAGCACTGTTTTAAGCTCTTGCTATTTTGGAAGGTGTAGGCCTTAGACTAACAGAATGAGTATCACCTGCAGGCTTGTCAGAAATGCAGGATTTCAAGCCCCACCCCACCCAGGCCTCCAACCAAATGTGCGTTTTAATAAGAAGCCCTAGTGGTTGGCAGCTACACTGGGGCTTGGGAAGTGCCAACTGAAGCTGCTATTGATTGCACGGCCTGTTGCTTGCAGCTGAAAGCATATCCTCACTACAGCCCATAGGGAGGGACCAAGTCATGAACATCGCACCTGCTTTGCTGAGGACTTGGCTTTGTCCTGAAGGACATTAAAGTGTTTTAAATGGGAAGTGAAATACTCAGGCATTTATTTATTTATCTATTTATTTATTTATTTTGGAATACATCTCATCACTCTTAGAAAACAATAAACTTCTTTTTAAAAAATTTATTATGTGTCTTTATTTATTCGCCCTCCCAAGACAACTTTTATTTAAGAAACACAAGCTTCATACATGTCACAAGTACAACTCTAGGAATACAGTGATTCTCTCTACCATACCCGCCCTCCCACCCACTCTCCCAGCCCTCCTCCTCCTCCCTCTCCCACCCTCAGTCCCATTTTCCACTAAGATCCATTTTTGATTAACTTTATACACAGAAGACTCTGTACCAAGTGAAGAGTTCAACAAATTTGCATGAAAACAACAACAATAACAAAACTGTTCAACAGTTGAGACAAGAGCTGGAAAACCATAAACCTCTAAAACTCAAAGCATACACCAAAGAAACAGTGCCGTTATTTATCCTTCTTTCCAAGACCAGCCAGCTAGACACTTCAGTATTGCCACACCATCAGCTGGAATTCAAAAGCAGCTTCTTCTGTAAGATCTGCTCTCCCGCCCAGGCCCCAGGAGGCTGGCTATTTCTTACTTACTCTTGGGAAAAAAATAAAAGTGGCTGGGGGGGTGGTAAGAGGGGGCATTTGGCAACAGTTAAGACAGTACTTGGGATACTCCCATCCCATATTGTAGGCCTTGGGTTTTAGTTCTAGTTCCGCTCCCTTTTCCAGCTTCCTACAGATGTGTGCCCTGGGAGGTAGCAGGTAGTGGCTCAAGGGCTTGTCATACTTATGGGAGACTTGATTGGAGTTTCCAATTCCTGGCTTCGTCCTGGCCCAGACCTGGCTGTTGAGGACATTTGCAGAATGAATGGGTGGATGGCAACATCTGTGTTTCTCTCTCTCTCTGTCTCTCAAATAAATAAATAAATTTAAAATTGGTTTGTAAGCTATAATTATTCCAACACTATATTTTGTAACCTCAGACTTAGAAAAGCTTTACTTTTATTGCATCCAACACTGCCACCACCAAGCTTGGATGGTCTATTTTCTGAATGTATCTTCTCCTATCTCATAAGAATATAAGCTATTTAAGCACAATTACATTTTAAGATTTTTTCAATCCTTTCCATAAGCCTTGCAAAGTGATCTGCATTCAGTAGATTCCTGGCAAATATAAAATTAATTTTAAAAATACAAAAGTCACCATATATTGCTTCTCCAAGTTTGTTAAACAATATTTAAATGGGATAAGCATCCTGAATGCATTGCTCATGAGCTACGTTAAAACCGATAGAATCCAAAGGATTCAAATATTATGAACTCCTTTACAAAATAGGCCTTTCCATATTCTTTATGTTTGGGTTCTAACACAACCCAGAGATGGTTTTATAAAGAATTATGTACAAACATCTGCTCAAGGGTGCCCCATTTATCAAGTCACCACATCCTCCTGTGGTTCATCTTTGCTAAAACACAAACAAGCACCACCTCTTACACAGTTTCCCAGAGCACTTGGCTCATGCTCACGTAGCAGTCATAACTTCTTGATAAATACTCGCTCAGTGACTCTGTACAGGACCCTAGGAATGGGGAGATTATTAACTCCTATTATTGCTGAGGCAACTGGGGCACAGCGTGTAGATGCCAAGGGACTTAGGATTGCATGGCAAGAAATTTGGTGGCAGTAGGAGGGGAGTTGGAACTCAAGCCCCACCCACTGAGTCCCGGAGTCTGCTTAGAATCACCACATACAAGTCTTTTTTTTTTTTTTTTTTTTTTGACAGGCAGAGTGGACAGTGAGAGAGAGAGACAGAGAGAAAGGTCTTCCTTTTTGCCGTTGGTTCACCCTCCAATGGCCGCCGCGGAAAACCGCGCTGATCCGATGGCAGGAGCCAGGAGCCAGGTGCTTCTCCTGGTCTCCCATGGGGTGCAGGGCCCAAGCACCTGGGCCATCCTCCACTGCACTCCCTGGCCACAGCAGAGAGCTGGCCTGGAAGAGGGGCAACCGGGACAGAATCCGGCGCCCCGACCGGGACTAGAACCCGGTGTGCTGGCGCCGCAAGGCGGAGGATTAGCCTAGTGAGCCGCGGCGCCGGCTCACATACAAGTCTTTGATACATCAAAGGCTAACCTCTCACCACTCTCTACTCTCTTTTCTTTTCTTTTTTTTTTTTTATTAAAGATTTATTTTATTTGTTTGAAAGACAGAGTTAGAGAGAGAGGTCTTTCATCCGCTGGTTCACTCCCTAGATAGCCACAACGGCCGGAGCTGTGCCAATCTGAAGCCAGGAGCCAGGAGCTTCTTCCTGGTCTCCCACGCAGGTGCAGGGGCCCAAGGACTTGGGCCATCTTCTACTGCTTTCCCAGGCCATAGCAGAGAGCTGGATGGGAAGAGGAGCAGCCGGGACTAGAAGCAGCACCCATATGGGATGCCGGTGCTTCAGACCAGGGTGTTAACCTGCTGCACCACAGCGCCAGCTCTTCTACTCTTTTTTCCTCTGCTGGTAAAATCATTGGCTAAGATTTTTATGTGACAAATAATTTATACTAAGTCCCAGATATATTGAAAATAAAGCGTTAGGAGCCACTCACTCTGGTCAAGTTCCATGACTGAAGATTTCTTTTTTTTTTAACTTTTATTTAATGAATATAAATTTCCAAAGTACAGAATATGGATTACAATGGCTTCCCCCCCATAACGTCCCTCCAACCCGCAACCCTCCCCTTATCCACTCCCTCTCCCCTTCCATTCACATCAAGATTCATTTTCGATTCTCTTTATATATAGAAGATCAGTTTAGCATACATTAAGTAAAGATTTCAACAGTTTGCTCCCACACAGAAACATAAAGTGAAAAATACTGTTTGAGTACTAGTTATAGCATTAAATCTCAATGTACAGCACACTAAGGGACAAAGATCCTACATGAGGAGTAAGTGCACAGTGACTCCTGTTGTTGACTCA